TTTCATTTCCTTCTGCTCAAAGGCAAAAGTGGACGTTTTTGCTTGTGTGTGTGTGTGTGTCTGATTGTTTTCAAAATATCTCATAAACCTGTCAAATTTTATTAAAATGCAGAAATTAATCACTGGAGTTGCATCTACAGCTGATTCACTTTTAGAATAAACCCTATTCAAGAGGTCCGCCACAGCCCAATGACTTCAGAAAACAAAGAATTGCTTTAATTTAGTCAATTTGTATAAACGTGTTTGCACGTGTGTTTGCATGTTTTTGTGTATGTGTATAGTATGGTATAAGTATGTATTAGAGCCCGACCGATATATCTGTAGGACTGATATTTTAGGCCGATATAGATGTTTGGGGACCTATTGGTAACCTATCGGTATCTGTGTTAATCGTCCCATTAAGACTTCTAATTCTCACCCCTAAAATGTTGGACCAAGCCATAATTGTACAATGTATCCAGCAGAGGGCGCATGAAGACTACTTTCAACTCATGTCCTGTTTTCTTAAGATTATTTGGGGTGGACAAAGCTGAAAAAAATTTCAGCCATTATCGGAGGTCTGCGCCCGTCCAAATATTGATATCTGTGAAGGCTAAAATGTCCATATCAGTCGGGCTCTTCTATGGATGATATGTAATAAAGCTGACTTGACAAAAGGAGGAAAACAAATGATCTCAGAGAAATATCCTGATGCATGCTCAATAATCCAGGTAGAAAATTTAAAAAAGTTAAGTCTGGTCCTCTGGACATTCAAAAAAACAAAACAACCAAAACAAAGAAAAAAAAAAGTAGAAACGTTTCGTCTCTCATCCGAGAGACTTCCTCAGTCTGAGGAGCTGTATTCAGCTCAGTCTCTTAAATAGCACCTTCTCAGAGTGGATCAACCAGTTTGCTGCTGACAACCAGAACCAGCTGATCACATGCTCAAGAAGGACCATCAGCCTAACAATGGATCATTAGCACCTGATGGCTGTTTACTATTATTACTATTATTTACTATACAGGTGGTTGAGTGATACTAGCAATAACAGCATTGTAAGAGGGGGACTGTTGAACCCGGAGGCATCTTTGTGAAAAGAAATCGTCCATCATTAAACAGGGGTGGAGCCTCCGGGTTCAACTGTCCCCCTCTTACAATGCTGTGATTGCTAGTATCACTCAGCCCTCTGTGAATAGTAAACAGCCATCAGGTGCTAATGATCCATTGTTAGGCTGATGGTCCTTCTTGATCATGTGATCAGCTGGTTCTGGTTGTCAGCAGCAAACTGGTTGATCCACTCTGAGAAGGTGCTATTTAAGAGACTGAGCTGAATACAGCACCTCAGACTGAGGAAGTCTCTCGGATGAGAGACGAAACGTTTCTACATTTTTTTCTTTGTTTTGGTTGTTTTGTTTTTTGAATGTCCAGAGGACCAGACTTAACTTTTTTGATCACAAAGAAAGTTGAAGAGTGAGTAATAATAATTCAAAGCAAGTCATTTGTTCACATTAGTCCGGCTCTGTTTTTCTTGGACAGCTTTTTGTTGGAGCATTTTATATTAAGATTTTGACATTTCAAAATCCAGAAAAATTGCAGAGAATAAAAACCTTGTGTGTGTTTGATGTTGGGGTTGTGTATGATGGTTTGACAGCATTTCCAGCAAGTGAGTCAATCCCACCAGGAGCCAATTGTTTGCATCTGAACTATTGCCCTCTGACAGGTTCGGGGGGGGGGGGGGGGGGGTGAGAAAGTTGAACACAGCTGCTGAAAATTGCTTCAAGTTCTACTTGATAATAAACTTGTTTTGGACAACAATGCATAAACACATAAGTTTCCAGTTTCCATATTACAGTGGCTGATATGTTGGACAAAAGATCAGCCCATCTTTGACAATTCTACTTTAATGTGTGAAAGTAAAAACCCCAAAGCATTCTTAGAAGTTTCGTCTTCTGTAAAAGGTGGAAACACAAACACTAAGCAGCTAAAGGAAAACATTGTCTTGACACTTTGGTTTTATATGGTTAGTCAGTATGAATGTTAATCTTCACCATGTTGCACAAAGTTTTCAGCTTGACTGAAGCACAGATCTGTGGAATGCAATTAAACTCCAAAATTTTAATATTACTTTGCACACAAAACTCATACAGTAGCATCTTGTAAACTACTTAGACAAGTTTTTACCTATGGGCATTTTATAATGAAGTGAATGTGATTGTTTTGTGTTAGGAGTTGACTGGAGCTGGGCACCAGCCCCCTACAGCCTGAAAAAGAACAGACAAGCAAAATGGATGCATGAATTGACTTTAATTGGATTTAAATCTGGCCCTACATTGAATTTGGATTTGTGACTTGACCTTTGTTGTGGTATCGTAAGTGCACTGGGATGACTACTGAGGCAACTGTGGCTGAGTGGTTAGAGCAGTCGTCCTCCAATGCAAAAGTTGGGGGTTCGATTCCACCAGCAGTCACATGCTGAATTGTCCCTGGGCAAGACACTGAACCCCTCATTGCCTCTGATGTGTGTCCATCAGTGTATGAATGTGATAAAGCTCTGATTAGTCTTTGTATAGATCTAGTATAGAGCTGTATGAATGGGTGAATGAGGCACAGATTGTTGTTAAGAGCTTTGAGTATCTTGATGAGATAGAAAGGTGATATACTGTATAAGTACAGTCCATTACCTTTGTTGAATCATTTTTTTGCAGATGATGTGTTGTCATGTGACAGTCGTGATAAAATTGTAAAGCTGTGCAGGATACCTACGGGACCGGGCCGTATTAAAAAGTGACTTATTACGTGGTACTTGTCTGCTACTTAGCTAGTACAAGCATACCAAATAGTACCAGGTACATATCCTGGTACATAAGAATAAAGTAAAGTAATATGTGTTGTCCTGATGCATGCTCAATAATCCAGGTAGAAAAATCTAAAGAAGTTAAGTCTGGTCCTCTGGACATTCAAAAACAAACCCAAAAAATTGTAGAAACGTTTCGTCTTCCGTCTTTAATATGTTTCATCATCGTATGTTCCCACACAATGATGAATTTAGTTCTCTGCATTTAACCCATCACACCTGACACACCCAGGTGGAGCAGTGGGCAGCTATGCAAGTGCCTGGGGAGCAGTTAGGGATTGGGTGTCTTGATCAAGGACACCAGGAAAAGTGGGCATGGTCCCAAATTAGCTGCCCTGCCTCTACAACATCTCTGCCCCATACATGTCATTAATCCTGTGGGTTCTCTGTGTAATACTGCTACTGTGTTCTGATATCTAATGTTTAAAATCAAAAGTAGTTGTATAGACGTTCTTACCATGATTGTATTTTTATACATTTTTTATAATCATCAAATTGTAGGACTATAATTAGATTAAGTCCAGTCAAATTGCTTCCTTTCCTTTATTAAAAGAACAGTTAGAAGCTGTTTGGAGGACAGAAGGCCTCTGTCTAAAATGAGTGTGTCTTCAACAGCTGTTTGTAACAGAGGCACTCATGTCTATGCATGCTCCAAGTGATAGCTTGTATGTCCTGTTCATGATACTGTTCCTCAGAAAGAACAAACGTGCAAAATGGGTCAGTACCTGAATATCATTACTCCCTATGTGTATTCTTAGTGTGTGTCAGTTTTCATGAGTTCTGATGAATCTGCATATTTAGAGCGTGTTGTTACGAATGTGAAAAGCTGTTATAGTCCAGCGATGTTCCCACATGGATCATTAACTCATCTTCAGGGACTAGATACCAGGCATGGAGTGGGGCTGAATGTGTGCACATGTACATGCACTTAAAGGGCTATTAGTGAACGAGCACACAGAGAGCCAGTGTAAGGAGTGTGTGAAACCATGTCATGGCCCATTTTCTTGGCTGACTCTGGAATTCTAAACACAAGGCTAGCGACATGTGGAGTTATCTGTATGCTGGCACGGCTGTGGCATTCTTCATTTTCAAATCCTCAGTTGAGGTAAACCAATGAATATTGTACGAGGTGAGCCCCAGCTGATCCTGACGGTGTTTACAAGGAGGGAACTCATCTTCACATATGGATGAAATGCTGATCAACAGCAGATAGTGGCACTATAAAGTCAGCTGTGCTGGACAGCCTGTGTGCACTGCAACACAAATCTCCACGCGCAGCACTTCTGTTTCATTTCCATTTGCTGCGCTCACTGCATGTGTGTAGAACTGTCATAAAATTGTCCACAACAGGGGATTTTATGTAGGGGTCGACAATTTGTGACTGCAGATCAGTGTGTGGGTCTCTGCAGAAAATAAAATATTTAGTTTTGCACTGAGCATATTGCTGACACAAACAAGAACAGTAGCAGCAAAGCTTCTGTAATCACTCATATTTGATAAGCTTGTGGGGTGTAATCATCGACGTCAGAAACATTTTTAATGTGTGTGTGTGTGTTTTGGGGGGAGGGGGGGTTCCTGGGGGGTCCTCCCCTGGAACATTTTGAATACAGTAGATGCCATTTCCTGCATTCTGGTGTATTTTAATGGGTTGCTAAACATTTACGTTTACTACATTGTAAATATTTGATTCAATAACTATTTTAAAGAGCAACAAGAAGTAGCCTGACCAACAGCTCTCCTTGTGTGAATAGAGCACACTCTGCTTCTCTCAAGCATCCTAGGCCCCCCCCCCCCCCCCTGTCGAAAACTGCCGGAACTCGCGTAGTGCTAAGCTAGCGGCACCATGACGTTAAGCTAGTGCACAAAGTATAGGTGCCCCCACCTCCTCCCCCCGTGAGTGCCCTGCCAAGGCAGATGACCGAGGAGACACCGCATGTAGTTGTTGTAGGTAAACCCAGAGTGGACTTTTAGTGGTTTTGGATTAGTTCACAAAGAAATAGAAAGAACTGGATGAACTAATATTTCATAGTCCACATGTGGGGGAGTCCAAACAATTTTTTTTGTTTTTATGTGGTGATGGGGGGACACACATCCCCTTCACATATAATTGTTGTGACGCCTATGGGTGTAATACCTTGTTCTTTTTGGATTCTTTTCTGTCCACAGTCTGTTCCTAAACCCATCGCCCTTGAGCCTTGTTTTGGCAACAAAGCTGCTGTGCTCTCCATCTTTGTTCGGTTACCCAGGGGCTCTGGTGGCATCCCTCCTCCAGGACAGTCTGGTAAGTTACAGCAGATTCTTCTTTTTTCTTTTTGGTCTGATACGTCATCACCTGCCACCAAAAGGCAAAACTGGAGGATAATGTTTTTGGTGTGCCTGTTACCAAATTATCTTATGAACCACTGAATGAAATTTAACTTTCAAAATAATTATTAGATGTAATTTGTGTAATATCTTTGTTTAAAATTTAGCTATTAACTATCACCAGTGACTGTTAGGAAAATATCTTGTGAACCACAGGACAATTCTTTAATGAAACTTTCAGAGAATGGTCATCTGTTGTTCTTTTACAAAGGATCAACTTTTGAAGCCATCCTAATTCAAGATGGTCGTTTCAACCACCTCATGTAGAAAACACGAACTCAGTCACATATACAGATACTGAGCCAAAGTTTGATGTGATAGAAGCTGCGAGTCACACACAACACATTCAACATACAACACATAAAAGTTCGATCGTGCATATTATGTTCAAATTTTGACCAAAACAGCTAAACTCCAAAAAAAAGTTCTTAGTGTAAAAGTCTTGTATGAAAGGCGGTGGTGAAAATGCAATTAAAGAATTTTAGGCTTTTTAATCAGGGCTGTTTGATTAGCAGCTTGTTCTGTTTGCATCCATACTTAAGAAAGTAGAAAGTGCGGACCTTATTTTTGCTCTCTGTTGTCTTAATAATAAGCTGGCATGATGTAATGTGTCATGTGTTTTGTTGAGTTGAATACCTGCCCTCTCCCTCTTGGAGCGGTGTGTCAGAAAGTCCTTGATCCAAAGACAGTTCTTGTTATTAACGGTCAGACAGCTTGGTCACAAGTCTGCTGGATACAATGGAATGAAATTCTGAACTGAAGTCCATGAACAGCAACTGAGCATACCTCCCCTGCTGCGCTTCAGATGGAGAGAACAGAGTGGAGAGCACTGGAGATTGTGTCTTCTGTAGACCTATTTGCTTTATGGGCAGACTGGTTGAGGTGCAGACTGGAGGAAATCTGGGTACCAGCCAGCTTCTCGTAGCACTTCATTATAAATGTTTCAAGTGCAACTGGCCGACAGTCACGATATTCTTAAAGAGTTGGTTAACGATGAGTCATCCATGACTAAAGGCAGGGAGGGACAGCAGCCTCACTCTGGGACTGGTTGAAGATGCTGATGAGGACTCCAGACTACAGTTGTACTGTTCTTCAGCACTCGTCCAGGGACACCGTTAAAACCCACAGCTTTCCTTGGGTTCATAGCTTCTAGTGTATGTCTCACCTGCTGCTCCTCCAACATGAGGCCATGTTCAGCTTCAAGCTGATGGATGTCTTTAAAGTCCTCAAGTCTCCTCTTTAATCCAGCCTTGGCTTCCCTGTCCTCTCTCTTCAGGCTTGCTCTGGCCACGTGTCTCTCTCTCTGAGCACGTTCTGCGCTTTTCTGTTCATCCAAGGCCTTCTGTGGGATGAACCTGAATATTCTTGTCCACGATGACAGTGGCTGTGCAAAACTCAGTATATCCAAGAACAGCTAAGGTGAACTGCTCCAAGTTCTTATGCTTGAAGGCATCCCAGCTTGTTTCAAAGTAGCCCTGCAGCTGTCGAGAGGCACCTGAAAGGTCTTAGATGTGATATGTGCAGTTTTATGATCAAGGTGTATGCTGGTATCGTGAGCAGGGTCAGGTAGTCTGATATTCCCCTTGTCGAGTATTTAACTTGCTGTGGAATTTGAGTAACAGTCTTTAGATCAGCCTGGTTAAAGTCCCCGGTGATGTGTGTCCTCTGCTTGCTTGTTTCCCTGTTCAACACTTTGGTCGGCCTTGTCGCTGTTCTTTATAATTAAAGAGGTATGCTATGTTAAGATATGAATAGCCTGAGGATATCTGCTGTCTTGGTTACTACTAGTGTCATGTAACAAAGTCCAAGGGTCAAGTTAGCATTAGCATCCAGGTGGAGAAATACAGCAGTGAATTCAAGAGGCAGGTAGACGGGCCTGGATTTAGCAGTCACATGCTCCAGCACCAGGCAGTGGCGGCTGCTCACAGTTTTACTGTCTGTGCTGCAGCTGTTGTCGACACATTCAAGCTCCGCCTCCTTTGTTCTTGCCGGAGGTCTATGCCCTGCCGTGTATTCTGCCTGCTAGCTCGTTAGCTGTGTCCAGCATGGATGAATCAAAGTTTCTTTATTTGTCATTCTCACATGTGGTGGAACGAAACTGTGTACACAGAGTCCCAGTTACATCCAACAAAAGTAAAAATTGTAAAAGAAAAACAGTAATAAGATCTAAGATATGAACTAAGAAATACACTAAACTAAAAATACACTAAGCACTAATAGTGCAAACCGTTACGTTTAACAACAGCAGCACAAACATGAGTCTGTGTGAGCAGGTGAGTACGAATAAACACAGCAACATGAAATAAATCAGCAGCATGAGATCAGCAGCACATATGAACAATCGAGTGGAATTACAGTGATTTTTTTTTTTTCACAGTGATAATTCTGGTTAGAGATTCATGAGTCTAACAGCCTCAGGGTAGAAGCTGTTCCTCAGTCTAGTGGTTCTACACTTAATGCTCCTCAACCTCCTTCCTGCGGGGAGTGGGGCAAAAAGTGTGTGTGCTGGGTGAGTGAGGTCCTTCATGATGCAGGTGGCCCTCTTCCTGCATCTGGAGGTGTAGATGTCTGTGATGGTGGGGAGGCTGACTCCAACATCTTCTGTGCAGCCTTCACCACTCTCTGCAGAGCTTTTCTTTCTGCAGCTGTGCAGCCTCCATGCCACACATTGATGCTGGAGCACAGGATGCTCTCCACTGCACACCTGTAGAAGGAGGTGAGGACTGAGCTTCCAGACCAGCTCGTCTCAGCCGTCTGAGGAAGTAGAGTCTCTGATGAGCTTTCTTCATCAGGCTGCTGGTGTTGTTGCTCCAGTTGAGGTTGTGGTTCAGGTGTACACAATGAAGAGCAGTCTTTCACGATGCTGTTTGTAGTAACCAGCAGCATCAACTCATCCATTTTGTTTTGTTAGCAAGTGATCTCACATTGTCTAGCAAAATGCTGGGAAGCAACAGTTTGTGTCCGTTTTTGTAGGCGCCACCATCTAACGACTATTTTTTATTTTTTTACATGAATTAATAAATTAAAAATACTTACCGGTACCTAAATATGTACACACAAATGTTACGTATGTTTTATTGTTGTATTTTTATTCCATGAAATCTTTTTAATCATGAGTATAATGTGTCACAGTGCAAAACATTTTAAGGTAAACTGTTTCAAGACTTAAAAAAAAAAAAAAACATTTTGGGACAAACTCCACTAATTGCACAATATTTGCATGTGTGTGTGTGTGTGCGTGTGTGTGCGTGTGTGTGTGTGTGTGTGTGCGTGTGTGTGCGTGTGTGTGTGTGCGTGTGTGTAGGTCTGGCCGTGGCGAGCGCGCTGGTCGACGTCTCTCAACAGATGTGTGTCGGCTACAAGGAGAAGTCTGGGGCTTTGAGGAACCGTAAACAGCCGCCTGCTGCACAGCCTTCCACCTGCATCTGAGCCCACCTGCTGTGTACCTCCACCAACCCCACACACAATGTTCTTCATCAGCCCCCCCCAACCCTAACCTCCACTCCCTGCTTTAGCACCCTCCCTCAAAAACGTCTGCTGGCCCTGTCATCAGAGGGAGAGGTGCATGCTGGGACGGACGACCAGAACACTTTAGTGAGGTCTGCTGAGTGGAGCCCAGCAGCCCCCCCCCAACAAACCCTTTGGTCCCCTCAAACTAATCAGAACAACAGGATAGAGGGAATGAATGAGAAGGACAGGGAGGAACAAAGGAGACGGTGACTCCTCCTTCCTGCCTCTGAACTTGTTTTCCTCTGCCCAGATGGAGTGGAGGCGGCCATGGCTTGCTGCTAGGAGAGATGATTCAAACCTCAATGTTCATGTTTTGTTTAAGTTATTCTTGCTCTTTGTGTTGTATTATTGTTTTAAAGAAGAAAGTGGAAAAACTTAATTGCACTCAAACACACACACTTCCAAAGGAAACTTTCCAAGACATAAAACCCAGTGAAGCCCATCGTCACCTGCTGGTGTGTTCACAGTCCACACTGAGGCTGCCACCTGTCAGCACGTGCAGCCTGCAGGTGATGGCCGTTACTGTTGGAGCTCGCACGTAGGCTGCCCTGTGTGTGGCCTTTCTGAACGTTTGGCTGCTGAGCGGTCTGCCTGGAGTACAGCTACTCTCCAGCAGCATGTCGTCCTCGCTGCTGTCGTTTGTCCCAACGTTTCCAACAGCCCTCTTGTTGAAACGAACAACAGCTTGGTCCACACACGTCCCTGCTGAGCTCTGCACAAAGGTAGAAACACCGGTGTCTTTGGTGGAGCAGAGCCTCGAGCTCACGTGAAGCAGGTGAAGTGGTGAAGGTGGTGTCTCATTAAACTGGGACTGCTGGGGGCTCAGACTGACAGGCCAGTGTCAGACAACAGGAAGATTTTCAGTTGTGGAATTCATGGTTTGCAACCAGCAAGCCGTGCTGCCATATTTCTCATGGCCAGTTTGTAAAAATCACATCTTATTTTTGTGTACGTGAGGATTTATTGAACCCTTTGAACGTTTTGAGACAAGTTGGAGACTCCCTCACAAATACTATTAAACCAGCAGTCCCAGTCTGGTGAGATACTGGCTTCAGTCTGATTTGTATTATTGCAGCCAAGGCAGCAGTTTTTAGTTGTGGATTGTTTTTTTTGTTTTTTTGCTTACAAAATTCATACTTTTACCAGTTTTGTATGTTTCTGCTAATTGTATGCCTACGACCCTTTGGCTCTCAGTTCAGAGCAGCCTGCAGCAGATTTACATAAAATGTTTTTTATATTAGGAGAAAGTGAAACTGATACTGGAACACACTAAACTCATCATTTCAGTGGTTGGAAGAGTAAAATGGTTTAATACCAGTAAATGCTTTTTACTCTTCTTTAAGGTAATGCTACAAAATGAAATACACTGGAATGAATCAATATAGGCATTAAAATGTTGTTGTTTTTTTGTCAGTAAAAAAACAAAATCCCATCAAAAATACTTTTGTGAAATGTTTTTTTTTTGCCAAATGCACCCCTCAGAAATGTTAGCATTCAAACGCTGGAAGCTGTCATCACCGCTTCGTGTTTCAGTTAGCCGGACCAGTTAGCCGGACCAGTTAGCCGGACCAGTTAGCTGGACCAGT